AGCTGATCATTGGAGGCAAGGATTCTGAAACTTTGTCTGACATACTTTGGACATGTTGCAAGGAGGGACCAGTCCTTGGAGAGGGATGTCATGCTTGGGAAGGTGGAGGGACAGCATGAGAGAGGAAGACCCTTGATGAGATGGATTGATTCCGTGACTGGGGTAATCGGGATGGGTATGTCAAAGGCAATAAAATTGGCACAGGATAGAGCAGGGTTTAGGGCTGTTGTATATAGGGTCGCTGTGAGTCGCAGGTGACTCATCGCCACATAACAACAATAACATAGTTGGTTATTACGAAGTGTAGGGGTGATATTGTTTATTTTGTAAGTAAATCTGTTATTTGGATGAAATATTACCTCTTAAAAATGAACGTAAGTTTCAACTTCAAAGCTTCTAAGTGATAACTATGATTGTTATCTCTACATGAGTTTTCTCTATTCTTTTTGTTTGAAATTTCTGTTGTCAGAAACCTTCTTAAGGGCATATTGTTAAGATACAGCATAGAAGAAGGGATGATTTTTTTAAAAGAAGTTTACAATTTTTTCCACAATAATTTCACAATGCAAGTTCTCATCTCATGAAATCTGATACAAAGTTGATGTTGCTTAACCTTACCAGAAATGTGTACCTTCTGCATTCCTGTTCGTATAATTACCTTTCTCTGATCCTTTTTTCATAAAACACTTAAAATTGCCTGGTGGAGGCCCTCTGCAAAGCCAGGAAATACAAGGAGATACCGGACATTGCTCCAGCCTTCAAGAGACAAGTAGGCTAGTTAGAGAATATACATAAGTGGCAAACCTGAAGCCTGCAGGCGTTTCGAGTTATATACTGTGCTCCGTATCCTCAAGTAACAAGGGACAGTCTAAGGTTACAACTGCAGCCTCATCCTCTCCATGCACTGCCATTCTGGAACTCGGGCTGTGTCAAGTTCTTTGGTTCGGCATCGCTGCTGCTCCGTCCCTCGCTGCTTCTCTGAAGGAAGAATTTCTAACATTGCTTTGTTATATTTTTATTGTGACTTGAATGAAAATCTATAAAGCAAATTACTTTTTCCTTCAATCATTCATACACATTTTGTATAGCATTAATTTCAGCACTACAATGTACTCACACTTTTCTCTATAATTCTGATTTCTGTTAATATTTTATCCTTGTTCTTCTGTGGTTTTGTTTTACTTCACTCTTCCTCCCTTGTCATCTCTGATAATAATCCAAGGATGCCTCTGTGATTTCTGGTAGCCCTGGTGGCCAAATGGCAAGAAGCTGCATTGCAATCTTGAAGGCATATGGTTCAAATCTCAACAGCCACTCCATAGGAGAAGGATGGGAAATTTCTTCCCATACGATTAACTGCCTCTGAAAACTCTCTGGACGGTCAGCTATGGGTAAATTCTGACTCAACGGTATACAACAACAACAACAGTCTTTTATAATATTTTCCACTTAAATCACTCAGCATAATGTCCTCTAAATTACTCATGTTGTGCAGTGTTCCATGAATTCTTTATTGTTCTTTAGTGCTGCAGGGTATTAAATTTTGTGAATGTAGCATAGTTTTTTTAGCTGCTCATCCAATGATGGACATTTGGGCTGTTTCCATCTCTTTGCTTTGGTAAATAATCTGCACTGAACAAGGGTGTGCATGCATCTGTTCATGTATCACAGGTGTTCGTGTGTCACAGCTCTTCCTCAGGATAGTCACCTTGTAGTGAGATTTCTACATCATTTAATATTTCTATTCCTAACTTTCATCCGGGAGGCTGGGCTCTATGTGGAGAAATGCCGCATCAGGATTGGTGGAAGATTTATCAACAGTCTGCGTTATGCAGATGACACAACCCTGCTTGCTGAAACTGAGGAGGACCTGAAGCTGAGGGTCAAGGACTGCAGCCTTCAGTATAGCTCAATGTCAAGAAGACAAAGATTCTCACCACTGGACCAATTGGCAGCATCAGGATGGATGGTGAAGAGATTGAGATTGTTCACAGCTTTAGTCTGCTTGGCTCCACAATAAACACTCTTGGCACCAGCAGCCAGGAAATTAAAAGACGTATTGCAATGGGAAAGTCTGCTGTTAGGGACCTCTCTAAAGTACTGAAGAGCAACGGTGTGTCTCTAGAGACTAAGGTGCATCTGGTACAAGCCATGGTCTTTGCAATCACTTGTTATGCATCAGAGAGTTGGACAATGACCAGGGAGGATAGAAGGAGAATTGATGCTTTTGAGTTTTGGTGTTGGAGAAGAGTGTTGAGGGTACCATGGACTGCTAAGAAAACAGATTCATCCTGGAGAGGGTTAAACCGGGCTGCTCCTTGGAGGCAAGGATTCTGAGGCTTCATCTGACATACTTTGGTCATGTTGTAAGAAGATACCGGTCCTTGGAGAAGGACATCGTGCTTGGGAGGGTGGAGGGCAGGCGCAGGAGGGGAAGGCCCTCTGGGAGGAGGATTAATTCAGTGACTGGGGCAATCGGGATGAGTGTGTCAGAGACAATGAGATTGGCACAGGACAGAGCAGAGTTTAGAGCTGTTGTACATAGGGTCGCTATGAGTCCCAAGCGACTGGACGGCACATAACAACAACAACAACTTTCTAAGGAAGTTCCAAACTACTTTGCATAGTGGTTGCACCATTTGACATTCACACCAGCAGTATATGAGAATTCCAGGGTCTCTGGACACCGTCACCAACCTTTTTTTTGTTTCTTTCCTGTCTTACAGAACTAATTGTTGTGTTGATTTACATTTCCTCAAATGGATAATGATCTTGAGTATCTCTTCTTGTTTTTGTTGGCCATTTGAATGTCTTTTTGCTGAAGTTTCTTTTCATGTCTTCTGCTTATTTTTATATTGTTAATGTGTGTTCCATTGAGCTGTGTGGGAACCAACCCATAATTGATCCTCCAGCAGATTTTCAGAGGCGGTTAATCGCACGGAAGGATATTGCCCATCCTTCTCCCACGGAGCAGCTGTTGGATTTGAATGACTAGGTTATCTTTTTCTTGTTAAGGTCTTGGAATTTTCAATAAATTTTAGAAGTTAGTCTCTTGTCAGATACTGTTGTTGTTATGTGCAATCGAGTCACCTGCAACTCATAGCAACCCTATGTACAAGAGCCCTAAACCCTGTTCTATACTGTTTCAATCTTATTGTCTCTGATACACCTACCCCCATTACCTCAGTCACTGAATCAGTCCATCTAATTGAGGGTCTTCCTCTCTTGCACTGTCCGTCCACCATCCCAAGCATGATGCCCCTCTCCAAGGACTGGTCTCACCTTGCAACATGTCCAAAGTGTGTTAGATGAAGCTTCAGAATCCTTGCCTTCAAGGAGCAGCCTGGTCTTACCCTCTCTAGGATGAACATGTTTGTTCTCCTAGCAGTCCATGGTCATGGTATCTTTAATATTCTTCTCCAGCACCACAGCTCAAAGGCATCAACTTTCCTTCTGCCATCCCTAGTCATTGTCCAGCTTTCTGATGCATAACAAGTAAATGCAAAGACTATGGCCTGTGTTAGGCACACCTTAGTCTCCAGACTGACATCATTGCTCTTCAGTACTTTGGAGAGGTCTCTGACAGCAGACTTTCCCAATACAATTCACCTTTTAATTTCCTTGCTGCTATACCACTACTAAATCTTTTTCCCAGTCTACAGGTCCTCTCTGGAGAAGATGACAGAGACCAAAGTGGCCTTAAATTACTGTCTTATTTAGCATGCATCCCTCATGCTGCCCCCCTACCGCTGACACACATTTTTTTTTTCTTGAGATGTTGTTCTTCAGTAACTTTAACATTCCCAAGCCAGAAAAATTCCAATGAGCCAGTTAATCATTACTTGATGTGTGAAGTCCCCCTGTACAGTAACCTGTGGCTCAAGCACTAATTTCACATCCAATTACTTATTAACAGGCTTCAGCTTAATGAGCGGGCAATCTGAACCCACACAGACAGATTCCCCAATGCAAACTCTAACTGCTACAAGTATCTTCAGAGAGAAAATGTCACTGGAGAGAAAAGACAGGAATTTATGGAAAGTTTGATGAAAGAGGGTAGGCCTTGGTGAGCCTTGAAGAGAGAATCTGTAAGAAGGTCAGAAGGGCATCATGGGGAGAATAATGGCATAAGCCGAGTTAGACATCATGTGTTGGATTGCAATGCAATAATAACTACACTTACTATTTGTTGTTAAGTGCCATCAAGTCGTAAATGACTCATAGCGACCCTATGAACGACCTGAACACTTGTATAACTTTCATTGTTTCTCCAAGTTCACAGGGTTTCAGGATACTTACTAGAGGAGAGAATTTTCTACATGGAAATAGGCACTAGAGAACAGATTATATTGCACTGAGGACTAAAGAGTAACATCTTGAATGACGATGCCGCAGATAAAGATAGACATCATTTTCAAGGCCTTTGTTGTTATTGTGTACTGTAGAGTTAGAACTGACCCATAGCTGACCTGCCTGCAAGTTTTCAGAGGCAGTTAATCACACAGGAGGAGACTGCCCATTCTTCTCCTATGGAGCAGCTGGTGGACTCGAACCAAGTGACTTTGGGATTGAAGTTTGGCCACCAGTGCTCCCTCTAATACTACTCTAGTATCCATGTGTTATTCTTGTGCACCTTCTACTTGGATTTTGAAGATTATATGACAGCTAATAGAACAAAGGTGTAGTCTTTGGTCTTGGGACAAACTAAATTCAAATTGTAAGAATGACTGTTATCTCCCTTTGCTGACTACAAAAAAAAGGAAGAAAAGAAATGATTCTGTTTGTGGCCTTTTTAGTATACAAACTTGACCAATGAATTGCCTAGGGTGATATTTCCTCTAACATTACCTTTTATATAATATATTGTAATGATCATTTCTCCTTATTTGTTTGTATACGTGACAATAGTTTTAGAGTTAAAAGTCATTGCAAATTGCAAGACAAGAAGCTACAACCTACTGCTATGAACTAATATCATTCTCTTCTCTTTGTTTTTTTAGGTGGTTCAACAGCAGTGAGTTTAAACTCTAACCAGGCTCTGGCAAACCCAGTATCAACACACAGCATTTTAACTCCAAATTCCAGCCTCATGTCTACTTCCCATGGGACAAGAATGCCATTGTTATCCACATCAGTGCAGAATATAGGGATGTATGGAAATCTGCCCTGCAACCAGCCTGGCACGTACAATGTCGCTTCAGGAATGAATCAGTTGACCCAACAGAGAAACCCAAACCAGCTGATAGCAAATCAGAACACCCCTCTGATGTCGCGGCCTCCTACCCTCGGGCCAAGTAATAATAACAACGTGGCCACTTTCGGAGCTGCAGCTGTTGGCAATTCACAGCAATTAAGACCAAGCCTAAGCCATGGGATCACAAGCATGCCAGCGCAGAGAGCATCAAATGTCATGATCACATCCAACACAACAACACCAAACTGGGCTTCTCAAGAAGCAACATCCAAACAGCAGGAAGCTCTGAAGTCCACAGGAATCCGCTTCCCAACAGGTACACCTGCAGCCTTTACTGCAAGCCAGTCATTGCAGCAGGCGGTGGGTGGCCAGCAGTTTCCCCAGAAGGCAGTGGCCCCTAACCAGTTAACACCAGCAGTGCAAATGAGACCCATGAACCCAATGAGCCAAACATTAAATGGACAAACCATGGGTCCGCTTAGAGGTCTGAATCTCAGACCCAATCAGCTCAACACACAGATCTTGCCTAATATGAACCAGTCGGGAACAGGGTTGAATCAGTCGAGGACAGGCTTAAGTCAGCCACCATCTCTAACACCCGCGAGTTTTCCATCACCCAACCAAAGTTCCAGGGCTTTTCAAGGAACTGACCATGGCAGTGACTTAGCCTTTGACTTTCTCAGCCAACAGACCGATAGCATGGGCCCTGCCTTAAACAGTGATGCCGATTTCATTGATTCATTATTGAAGACAGAGCCTGGTAATGATGACTGGATGAAAGATATCAATCTTGATGAAATCTTGGGGAACAACTCTTGAAGGAGAAAAGGGAGACAATTCGCAAACCCCAAGCACTAAAAGGCAGTATTTTACAAGGACTCTGTAAAGGCCAAACTGTTGACTTTTAGTTGGACTACATGAAGATATCATGGCTCAAAATAGAAAACAAAAAGTAATTGCAGCGGGGAACACTTTGGTCCAAATGCTTGTTTTATGTCTCAAACCTGAAAGTTATACATTGGGATCACTTTTCCCTGTCTCAGCTCCAGGACACAGTATCCAGTTTATCCAAACAGAACTGTGGGTTGATCTGTAATTAATTTTGTAAAATAGCCTTCCCAAGTTCCCTTTCCCCCTGAAAGGAAAGTACTAGAACTTGCAGACTGTTTAAACACCATGATGTGTGGGGACACTGGTCCCAAGCAACAAGCAACAGATTTCTTAACTTGCTCTACTAGATAAAAAAATATGTGGTTTAATCGTTCCACACCTTTTAAAAAATGTAAATTTCCCAAAGCTTCCACAGTAGATTGAAATGGTATAGACTTGGTAATAACCGAACAGTAGCCTAAGTAAGGGAGAGCTGAAAATCTAGAGAACATACAGTAGACTATAGAATTTCTGATTTAGATCCATCCCTCACTCTTTCAACTCTCCCAAATATATCACACTCAGAGGCACGCTATGTCTAGTCATGACATGTGGCATAGTTGGACTTCCACAATTTTTTAGTCCATTTCCAAGTTCTTGATACAGTCAAGACTTGGCCTGATCATGCTAACCTACGGCATCAGATTTCACTGTTTAAAAAAAAAATACTCCTCCATGGGACATTGCTATAAAGTAGAAATTTGTATTTATACAAATAGCCTAAGATGTTGCCTGTTGTTGCAATTCCAGAGATTGCAACTGGGCCTTCTTATTTATTTTGATATGTATAGACAGGTTTTTGAGAAAGGAAGCTTAGAGGCTAAAATGAAGATTTAAAGGAATTATGTTTTGGTTGGAGATAAGAAGCAAAAGGCCAGGAGATGTGGTGTAGGGGTGAGTACAATTCTATTTCATAGGAAAACTGTAATTGAGAGGAAAAATAAGCTGTCCCTCTTTGGTCAAATTCTTTGGGTAAACAACTAAATAGAGTGCAGTCTGTAAGTAACAGTCTATTCATTCTTCTGTCTCTGATGTGATGAATCTTTGCTTCATGCTAGATGCACCCTTTACCTCCATGTTTTCTTCCATAGACGTGAGGAAAGGAGGAAACTTTGTGGAGTCATTGAACCTCAGTGCCCACTTACAGATCAGCTGGACGACAGGTAGCACATGTCCTGACTTGGTCAGGTGGCAAAATATCCCCATCAATTTTTCTAATTACGGAGAAACACGGTGATCTTCAGCCTTTAGAGCTATGTGCTCACATAATCAAATGTAATTTTACTGAAACCATTTACCAAAACAGGCTTTTAAATACCTATTCTGAAATAGGTTTTGAAAGTTCTGCAAAGTCCTCTCAGTCTTTAAAATATCTAGAAACACTCCTTCTTTTACACAATACCAACATCTCGGGCCCGGAATCTTTTTCTGTGCTGAGTTGTAAATAAAAATAAATTACTTGTTTTGTAAACTTTTGTAAAGAATATTTTGGTAGAAATACTTAAAACATATTCTTTGGGTTATATTTATACATATGTGAAATAAATATCCTATCAAAAGGTTATATTTTATACAAAAAGTAAATTGTTACCTTTTGTATGCTAATATACAAAGTTTTGTATGATATGATGGTTTATTTTTAGCTCTACACTTAAACCACAGGTGGCCGAGTGGGAACTTTTGAAAACTAGTAAGAGGCTTATTAGACAAATTTATATTCTGAAATGAAACCTCAATAAGAAAGCATTCCAGGTTTCAATCTTTCTTACTTCTTTCCTTCCCCTCTCAATTTCATTTTTAAACTCACATAGTTCCTGTGTCTCCTTTGATTATTCTGCTGTGCACATTGTATTGGTCCTTGTTGCATGTGGTCTACTGTGTGTTTTCCCATTTTATAAAACAGTGTTTCTCCATGCAAAAAGGAAGGAAAAATGATGTATATATGAGCACCTTTATGTTCTAGCTCCTCCGTGTTACTGTATATATCTGCCAGCACTTCCCAGGCCCACTCCTGTGATCCAGCTTATTTTTACCCTAACATCAATAGTATGTTTTGTAGTAGCTATCAAATTTAAGAGAGTTAAAGCAATCAGAATGTTTGGAATTTCTTCTATCTTAATGTGAATTTCATAATTAATGTCTATTTATTCAGCTATTCATTAAAATACAGGACTCTTTGGAAAAATGGTGTAGTCTATAGTTTCTGTTTGTTGGCAACCTATTACCAAAGATGATGTCATTTTCCTGAAAGCTGAGATAATGACACTTTGATAGACATATTTAGCCAAAGCTTTAGGATTTACAGCTTAAAGAGCTATTAGAATACAATCCCCAGTTATAGAAATCCCAGACTTCTTAATTGTTAGCACTGTTTATCATCCTGACATGTTACACAGGAGATAGAGGTGATTTATCTTTTTCTTTTTAAGTTTGAAGGCAAGAAGGCAATCTAAGCAAATAATTCATCCTTAGCTTCTTATTAAGCCCACTGAAGAGAAATAACTGCTCAAAGTTGAAGGCACTAATAATATTACTTGCATTACTGTAACTGTACCCAAGACTATAAAAACTTCAGCTTGCAAAATAAGTATTTTGTATTGTGTGTAATTCTATTTGTTTTTTAAAAATAGACTTTTTAAAAATCCAGGAGTGATTCTCTTGTGTGAAACCACACTGTTAGTTACCAACAATCCTGTTGCTACATCACAGAAAGTTCTGAAAGCTGCTAATCTTAATGGGCACTCTGAGGCAAACTCATTCTCTGGGAAATGCCTAATACTAGTGAAATGCTGCCTTATTTCATTTTAATGTGTTGAGTTCACTTGGAAGGTTTGTGTTAAAATACTCTTTGTTCCAAACCCTGCCCATTGCCATTTAGTCAAACCAACTCACAGTGACTTAATGGGGCAAAATAAAGCTGCCCCACAGGGTTCCAGATTGATGCATCTTTTCCCCTCAGTGCTGCTGGTGGATTAGAAACAGGAACCTTTGGGTTCGCAACCAGATGCCTTAACCACACACAGCACCTACTAAACACTACCTAATTAAGATTCATTGCCTAACTGTGGGCAGGGCTTTGAATCTGTCAGCTTCTCCATAGGAAAAGTCTCCTTATGAGTGATTCACAGGCTCTGAAAAACCCACAGGAGGGTTAGCTATGAGTCAGCTCTGACTTGAGAGCCGTGAGTAATTATGAGGCACTGTGGACATTAGCCTGGCTGAATCCAGCCTGAGTGGACACAGGGTCTGGTCAACACAGCCTGACTGAAAATAGTGAAATAGTTCCTCCTGTGAATCCAGGAGTTAAAGGAGGGCAAAGGGCCTTTGTAGGAGGCAAGGGAAAGCAACCTAACGAGATTTTTAAGTCCCAATGTAAAAAAACAGTGCTAGTGTTCCAGTATTCCTTCTGCTGCCAAAACAGTGTGTGATACTATCTTTTTATTAGTGTTATTAATAGAGCAATAATAAAATTGACTCTTTTTTATAGTCCTTGTCTAATGAATTCAGGAGGTAGGATAGTAAACAAATGAAACTAACATCAATAAAGAATAAGTAAAATGCCTGAAAAGAAAAAAAAGTGTGTAATTCCCAAGTAATCTATGAATGCCAGTATGTGCCCATAAAAGTAGATCTAAGAGAGAAAATTAAAGAGTATGAGTGAGTCCAGAAAAAGAAACACAGCTTGACTCTTCTCACTTGATGGTTGCCAAAAGAGTTTAAGTTCTCAAACTTTCTGTCCACAGTTTACTTTTTCTATCTTTCTACTTGTATTTTCCACATCCAAAAAAGAGGGTTTGGGGCATAATTATTTAAACATTCTTCTACAACTCTATGATTTGGGTTTTCCCCTAAAAAAAAGGAGAGAGAGAGAGACTGCGAGAAACAGTAAATTTATGGAAAAACTCAGTAGCATTATTTTTAATCTAAAGGAATCACTAGTCTCTCACCTTTGGAAAGTTCTCCAACTATGCTGCAAACAAGCCATCATTTTAAAAATTAATTCATAAGAGAACAAGATCTCATCACAAAAGCAAAGAGGCAGTGTAGAGGCAGGAGCTTACTGACTGAGTACAAACAAACCCGGAAGATGAAAGCTGGAATGTGTTTTTTGTCATTTTCCTGTGAAATCATAGCAATTTATAAAGAAAATATATTTCTCCCAGGGAGAAGAAAACTGGTGCTTTGAGTAGGGCCCAGTTGTTGATGGGAGCTGTCTGGTTTGCAAGGAAATCCTACCCAATCCTGCCCCATCTCACCCTCTCCACTGGCTAAGCCCATTGTTGCAGTCACTGTCAAACCTGCACTGACCTGCTACTTTTCCAAACCTGATATCCTTCTCCAGAGACCAGCTCTTTCCGATGCCATGCCTGAGTATGTCAGACGAAGCTTCTGAGGAGCCCTTACTGCACTTCTTCCCAGAAACAATTGTTTGTTCTTCAGCAGTCCGTGGTCTAGTCAATACTCTTCTCCAACACAAGTCAAAGGCATCACTTCTTCTTCAGTCTTTCTTACTCACTGTCCAACTTTTTACATGCAATTGAAAGCAATTGCTTTTCAAAGCAATTGAAGAGACCATGGCTTGAGTCTGGCATGCTTATAGTCCTTAAAATGACCTGCTTGCTTCTTAGCACTTTAAATAGGTCCTAAGCAGCACAGTTGCCCACTGCAACACATAGTTTGGTTTCTGGACTGCTGCTTCTGTCAGTGTGCGTTGTGGATCCAAATAAAAAGAAGTCCTCGACAACTTCAGTCTTTTCTCCATTTATTATAATGTTGTTCATTGGTCCGGCTATGAGAATTTTTTTTTTCTTTATGTACCTTTTCAACCTATATGCAGAACAGATTATCCGGGAGGCTGGGCTCTATGAGGAGAAATGTGGGGTCAAGATTGGTGGACGATTTATCAACAATCTGTGTTATGCAGATGACACAACCCTGCTTGCTGAAACTAAAGAGGACCTGAAGCGCCTGCTGCAGAGCGT